AACTGACTGCTATGAGACGTGACAGATATGACATTGTAATATTAATGGAGGATTACTCCGAAAGCGCAAAGAGCTCATCGCCCCCCGGGGCTTGAGGAGGCGTTGTGTCAACTGATGACACAACAAATTTTTAAAAAGTTGCTAGAAAGCTATCCATCCATTTTCCCTTCAGGATTCATCTTTCTCACTGGTATCTAGTTCTTAGTTGTTTTAATAAATCTTGTTTTATCCACTCCAGCAGAAGTAATTTCATTCTCTGTTCTTAATTTGTTCAATTTATACAGAGTATGGAGTTCATTATAAATAAATTGAAATGAAGTGTTGCAGTACTCTAGGTAAATATTTTAGAAACAGTCCTCTAAAATCAAAGTAGATTTTGAGGAAGTCAACAAATCAACTTCAATAATATTTTTTCACCATAATTATTATTTATTACCATTGGATTTCCTCATAAAAAGTCTTTGTGTGTCCAGCACAGCCTATTACATTTTAGTATTCAGTCATTAACAAAACATGTGAGTACTTGTGCCTGTTTTACCTCAAAAAATGTGAACTTTGCCACAATGCAATTCAAAATTACATGAAATGCCTATTATTTTCGAAATAATGTTTATAAAAAGATTTAATCTAATATTGATAAATAGATTGCATCAAGAATGCAATTTCTAGCTTCAATATAAGTTTGAAGAAATTTGAACTTAAAACAACTTGCTTTCGCAAACAAATTGTACTTTTTTGAAGATGTAATTTTTAAGAAAAGATTTTAGTACAGAAAAAAATCTCTGTAATTAATATGTACTATTACAATGATAATTTTTTGCAATTTTTGTAAATATTGAAAATGAGACCAGTGCCATTTTATAACCGTCCTTTGCTCTATTCGAAAAAAATTGAAGCCTTTTGGAAAAATTCTTGTTTTTAAAATTGTCTGCTACTCATGTTTTCAAAAAATATACATGACTTTATTTAAAAATTTAATTTAATTTAAAGAACAAATTTAATTAAGGGAAAAATATCTTTCTTCAATTTTATAGTTGTAGGAAGATGCTGAAAAAATTTAGGAACTTTTCCAATTTAAGAAAATTAACTTACAATTTATGACAACTTTTGTAATTTGAGAAAATGCTGAAAACACCATTGAGGCTTAATATAAAATACCCCCCAAAATAAAAATTTTCATTTAAAATTTCTTGAGCTCTGCCAGATTGGATGGGGAATACCAAATTTGTAGAAAATTCTATGAACAGTTAAATGCTGTGGATGGGCAGTCAGACATGTTGCTGTAAACCAATTTTCAGGGATTAAGGACCCACAAAATGTGGATTCTGACTACACAACGTTTTAGAAGAACTAATTTGATTCATATTAGTGCAGGAATTATCCACGTTTTTGGTATCAGAGACCCAAAATATTAGTTTTTCTGTCGATAAATCACTGCTTTCCGCTGCAGCATTACATTTCTCTTCAATACATAAGTACGCAGCCAATGAGAAAGTAAGAGCACTCTTTTGGAAAGTAGATACCTTCCAAAAGAGTGCTCATACTCTTTAACAAGTACGTGTAACCCTATTATTAACTAGAGAAAAGAGCAGATAACACATTGCTTTCTTCTGTTTGCAATGGGGAATTGTAGATTGATGATATTTTAAACCCATTTGAAATATTTCATTGTAAGCTAGAGATTCTTTGTGTTTTTGTTTGTATCTACGGGCAAACTTCAATTTTCAAGGTAGCACTTGTATGCCTCCTCCTGGAGTAATAATCGGTTGTCTTCGTATGTCATAAATATGAAAGTCAAATCTTTTTGTGTACTTACTAGTGAACATGTGAAGGCAGAAATTTTGAATGCAGTAAAGATTCTATTAATCCTTCGCATGTATTTTTTTTCAATTAGTATTGTATCTTATCTACCTTGCTACACCACTGAGTGTTACTGAAACAAGAATCTAGATATGCAGTTCCAAAGTTAATTACTTTTTGTCACTATGAATTTTTCTCTACACCATTAAATAATCATGAATGAAAAATTATTGTTATAAGCAGACAGAATGTATTCATGCACTGTGTAGCTAAGAATTTATATGACTGACACTGATGACCTTTGCAATTATTTCTTCCTCCAATTTAATTTACACACAAATTCATTTCAATTCAAAATGCATTTGTATACAGTTATACAATACATCAGAAAGTTACTTAAATTGTACTGCTAACTGTGTTGTTGCCTTAACATTAAAATGTGAGGATTCATTCAGTTTTATGGTACAATTCAGGCAAGGTTTGCTCATTATTCCTTTTACTACAATTTTTATTTGATAAAAAAATAATCATTTCTTGATTTGAAAATTCAAAATTCTGTCCTATTTTGCACAATTGTTGAATGTCTCAGTATGCTGTTCTATTTTCATTCTCTTTCTCAGTTCTTTTTATAAAAAAATTTATATAATGCTCAATCAATTTCAATTAATAATCACAGATATAATGTTTGGGGACCGTCAATGACTAAATCTGGCTCTGATGAATGGGAATCATGATGAATTTGAACTCATAATGTGTTTCATTTCATTGCAGTTCTATTTTGATTACAATACATTATTAATCAGCTCTTTATTTTTATTTCAGTTAATAGTAATGGAAACATTTCTTCAATTCTTATTATTCACATGTCCAAAGTCATTTTTTGAGTTTCAATGTTTTGAAAGAAATTTTATTGGAGCAGTATCTACAATTAACTATGTTGTTAGAGTTACAAAATGAACTGTATGCCATGAAACAATTCAGTAAGAAAATTCATTAACTATTTACCTGAGAAAATGTAAAAGAAAATGTGATTTTTTTCTTGCAAGAAATCACTTAAATAGATTATAAAGTAGTTCTATTGTTGTAACAATAATAATAATAATAATAATAATAATAATAATAATAATAATAATAATAATAATGTTTAACAAATAATAATAATATTGTTTATAGCAGGCATGATCTTTTTAATTCATGTAAATAAATTAGAAATACATTTGAGATTTTAAAAAGGGTTAGATTTAATTTTTATCAGAAGAAGAACAAATTTCTGAAATTTTGAATGAAAACTACAATTTCTGAAACTGTAAAAATTGAGTGAACAAGTAGATATAGTACTAGTATCCAATAGGTAATAAGTGGTGCATACTTTTTGGCGTGAATTTTTAGTTCTCATAATAATATGTTATTTCCCTATTCCTTCAGGTATTATTAAGACATTCTCAAAAATAATGAGTTCTTAAAAGTTCATGAAGTATTTTTTCTGAAGTTATTGTGTTTACAAAAAGATGTCTTTGGATCTACCTCATGCTGCTATCAAGTTTCAATGTGTAAATGAAACTGGTATACATTAAAACAACTATAGTCACATATTAATGACCTAAAAATTAATATTTGCTGTCTTGATTGAGATTTATACTACAATATGTAACTAATTGCAAAAATAGATAAAACATGTCAAAAGTTAATTAGACACTTCCATGTTCATGTTTGTTCAATTTTTATTTTATAACCAAAATAGAAACAAATTTTAAGCCACAATTACTGTGATACGTACATTGTCATGGACTCCTTTAATAATTATTTAACATAAAAAGGGTATCAAAATCATGTTTAAAATATGTGACACTATATGGACAAGGAGATAGGAAGAGGTGAATCTATCAAGGACGACATTTAAATTCTAGGGACTAACAACACCCAACACTGATGCACAACAGACCTGGCTCTATCCTATTTGTCAATGTGGCATTGTAAATTGAGGCTGTATACTCATGCTTTCTGGTGAAAAGTAAACATTTATCTATGTTATCATTCAGTAATGATCATGGAATGACATGAACAAGTGCAATAAAATATAGCAAAGGAATGAAAAGGGGAAAATGGGCTTCGCATTAACTATTAAGTGAAGGTTTCAAAATGAGACGTATGAAGTGACGATATTATTCTTTTTCAAGAACGCCTGTAAAACAAATCTTACATCGCATTGGAAGTAGAGTTTTGGAATAAATTTCCTAATAGCTTACTGGAACTGCATTACACACTGGTACATATTAATTATCTGTAGATAATGAAAATATATCACATGAATGAAAAGATAAACACACAGTTGCTGTAAAAACCAACCTTCACTTCCTTCTATACACCAAGGAAGCTTCACAACAAGGTGGTAAATTGCACACATGACAACACGAGGACTACAAACCCATAAAACATTGATGTATTTCACATATCAAACACACCAACTGTATGAAAATAAGACTACTTAAATCAAAATATTATGTTAGCATTAGTGTAGCAACCGCATGTAGCCAAACTGATTGTCACACTATTCAAGCATAACATAAGACTGATGTGTGCTATCATAATGGATCATGTTGAGCAGTTCATTTGGTTAATGGATATGGGAATATATCTACTTTCTTGACAAACTTGCTGGGTGGATTGTGATGTATTATCTAATTCCAACAATGTAACAAGGGGATAGCAAAACTTCAAACACATCTCCAGCTACAGTCACCAAGAGACAGCTAGCTTTACATATTCAAACAACATTCATCAGATTGTAATTTACAATATTCTGTGAACTCAACTTTCATATATGTGGTCTGCTTCAGTTGCTTAAAAAATGATTAAATTTATAAAGTTTTATAATATGTTCAAGCCATGTTCATTGGCAATTGAAAATACAAGGATTATGAACTGATATTTTATATATTTTTATTTTTATTTATGTAGTAAGATTTAATTGACAATGCAATCTCTTGGTGATCACAGCTCTTAATACAAACATCACAAATACCAAGACGATAGTCAAACTCTCTACTTCAACAAGCATTTTCATGGAATTTTAATTCTCTTTTCACATTCAAATCAAATGTGAACAGAAACAAGTATACAAAACACACAATACATATAAAAGGGAAAATTGAGTAATGCCCTTTGGCTCACGACAACATAGCACACAGTTTGGTAAGCACCTTACGGGTTGACTCCGTACAATGGAAGTCCGTTGCCTTCCCTGGCTGCGGGTGTGGAGGCATCTAAATAGTGAGAAACAAAACTGGGTTAAATGCAGTGCAAATGCAGTGCAATGAAGCAGTTATATGAGGCACGCTGTAGAAAGCATGGCGTGAGAAAATAGATGGCATAGTACTCTAGAAGATTCCAGCTGTAATAGAGTGCTATGTTTCTTGCAGATTTCATTTTGTTGTATGATTGACAAATTATATTGATGTAGACTGGCATAGATTGTAAATAGGAAAGAAAAATATTGGGAACCTTCTTGGAAGATAGGGGAGGAGGATTTTAAACATTAGTGCTCAATATTCATTTCCATTATTTTTTCAGTGTGATTGACTCAAATACTTTCCACCTAAAAATAAGTTCTCAAAAATAATTAGATAATAAGACACAGCAATAATGTAGCAATGTTAATTGTGTTCATTAATGTAAATAAGACTTTCCAGTTTTCCCTCAAAATAAAACTTAGCAAAACATCAATATATTATGATAATTTTTCATTATACATCATCATTTTCACGAAGTATGAATGAAGTTAGAATTATTATGGAAAAATGATATTCTACATTTCATAACCATGTGTTACAAAACTGATATGTTGTTCATGGGATGGTAGCAAATAAAAGCTATACTAATTCACCGACATTTGGGAATATATTATTTCATCCTCAGTACTAATCACACAAAATAACTTGATGTAAAATTTACAATTATAATTACACATGAAATCATTGCACACAACAAAACTAAATGTGCCATTAAATGCACTGTAAATTTACTATTAAATTCTGTTGAGACAAAGTGAAAACATTTTAAACAACAAAGTATAAACGTCAACCAATACTATAATGAAATTATAGACAATGGTATTCTTTATTTATTTAACACCAAAAACAGTTAAAAACTGTGTGCAACATACTATGGGGAGAAGTATATTCATTACATGCTTTCTTAAATTCTGGGATCTGTACCCTAACCTGTGTAGATGTTGAATTCTGAATACTGGTGGAAATGAGCATTTCTGGCAAGAATTGATAAGAAAATATTAGCTTTCATTTAATAAAAACTATTTGCAAAGGCAAATAAGATACAGATTTGGGCTATTATCCCTCATCAAGGCCGTCATGAAGGAATCGACTTCCTGCCACAAGAACATAGAAAACAATAATTTGAATAACTATATTTCCCACTGAAATCTGGAAGACATGCACAGATAGTGAAGTTACATTTATGTTCAGAAGCAAAACAAGGGGGTTATACGCAAGATATTATGTGCGCACTTCATTGCCTTGTGCCACTGTAATTTCTCAAAATGCACAAGGCAGAATCAGGTGCGTACATCTTGTTTAATATCATGTGAGGAAACCCGTTGCAATATAGTATTGTTTTTGGGGGATGAGGGGGAATGTCCTTGGTTGTTTAAAATGTTTTCATTTTGTGTAAATAATATTTAGTAGTAAATTCATTGATGTTTTGTTGTAGTCAATTGTTTCATGCATAAACACAAATTTGACATTGTTTTATTCTGTATGATTGGACTGAGGGATGGAAAAACTGACCAACATTCCACAAACAATACAACTAAAAATTATTGATGCAGAAAGTGACATGTTAATACATGAAATGTACCTATAATATAGCAAACGTTAGTTGAATACATGTAAATCTTGAAAACGATTTAGTATATAAATTTTAAAAACAATGATCCATTATTGAGTTTTGATTTTGTGGTGCATTTTTGAGAAAAATGGAATAAAAATAAGAGCAAGAAAAAACATTGCAGTCTCATGATAGTTATACATTATTTATTTTTAAAAAATTAATCTTCGTGTATATTTAAATGTTTATGTATTACACATTTTGCAAAGAATATGACACTTGTGACACCAGTGATTAATTCTGGAAAGAACTAACACATAATGAGAATTGTAATTTTTTCTTTATTTTTTTTAAAATTTATTTATTTATTTTTAATAAACTCTAACAGATTTGTATTAAGAGACAACAGGGACATTTAACATTTCAAGAAATAATCTCACTGTAAATCTTGCAATGTTTACGGAATAAGTATTACTACAGACTGTCATCTACCATTTTGGGATTTTCTACTTGAATCGTTATTGTCAAACAATCTAGACATAAAATACCTTTATCACGTGTAATATGCAGCACACTAATCTGTATGCCAATTGTTATGATGAATTTCTGCAAATGAAGTACAGTTCTTGACATTGAAACTTCTCAGAAAAGAACATGAACAGAATCAATAAAAACAGGAAATTTATTTCTTCTAATATTGCTCCAAAACTTAAATTAGAAAAATATTTCTGTAGCATTAAAAATTTTAATTTTCTAGGATTATGAAGAATTCACACTTCTAATGAGATGTTCCTTACTACTTTCTAATACTTGATTACTTGGCATTATCAAGAAAATTAAATACCATGTGTAACAGTAGCCAATGAATTTCATTGTAGAAAAGATTAGCTTATTGATCTAAACTCACATGCTTAAGTTGGTTGAAGCAGGAATGTAATTTCTCAGACATTTTTCATTGAAATGTGTATGACAGAAGGATCAGATGAGACAATGATATCTTACTTCATCAATACAAATGATAAAAATACAAAACCTTTTCATTTATATTTTTCAATCAGAAAAATGGATTTTCTCTATAAATATAATTGAAACTTCTAAATCATAAAGAGCATTATATCCACTCACTGGTGCCTACTTAAATTACTGTGATCTTGACTACATTTTAAGAGTACTGCATTACACATTTAAATTTAAGCTCTTCCACCATTAATTAAATATTACAATGAAAAATAAAGCACGAAAAGTATGAAGAAGAAAAAGAAAAAAAGAAGAAAAAGAAGATTAAATGAATATTTGTTATAACTAATATTAAATAAACCTAAAAGAGGTTACGGGAAACCAATTTTATATCCAAATATTTATTTCTGGAATTATTATCAGTTTCAATCACATATTTATTCATTATGAACATGTGAGTGCCTTGAAGTCACTACTTCTTTGCAGGCTTGTGCCTTTTTCAATGTCTGCGGATGTCTCATTGTCCCGGGGCTGCTGGGGGGGCTCCCAAAGGCTGTAGACTTAAACCTAGTGTTCCATTTTCCACTTTTCAGTACCATTTGACACATTTGTATATTTCAAATCAATCAAGGAGGGTAAATGAATACTTTTATTCATTGCTCTATCAGTGACTGGAATGTTATTTCTTGGTTCTTGAGTAGCAAACATGGCTGGACAGGGAACTCTGGCAAATGCTAGAATGGCTGGTGTTCTTTGGGGCCGGTACTTGTAGCTTTTTTAGTTTTTCATGAGTAATTTTGTTCATCAGAAAATAATTTATAATAATTATCGACATTTTCATGCTTTTCTGTGTTTCACTGATCATTTTCCATTACATAAATTTTTTGCCCAAGCCATCTGTCAAAAACCTCTTTTCATATAACTGATCAGGAACTTAATTTTAAGTTTTCATATGTCTTTGTTCTGTGATTAATTAATAATCTTTGAAATACTGAAAGTCATTAAAACCTCTTTATTATAATAATTTATTTTTGATATATAGATTGCACTGCAAAAGCTAGGGCCTTATACTTCTCAGTATGGCCCTGGTAGCACACACAAGTATGCATATGCGGGTGCCCAAGGTGTTGATATTTTCATTTTTTTTTTTTTCTCCAAACTGATATTAGCTGATAATTTTATTCATTTTCCACACCCTATATAAATATTATAAACATTTAAAAAATGTTGTATTAATATTTAGATAGGCATTACAACTTTCAAAATTTTAATGGAGACTCTAAATGAAACGTTAAAATGAAATATTTAAATAATAAAATTATTAGGTATCAGTTTTCATGAATTTGTGAATCAATGTATACCATATCATTTTCAGCACATGAATAAGAGCAATTTCATTACTTTTGGCCCAAGTGTGCACTTTTGGGCGAGAGAAATTACTGATGATTTTTATGTTACTGTTCCATCACTATAAAGTGATTTTGAAATTTGTAGTCAAAAATAATTAAGCATTTTATATTTTTTTAAATTCTAAGAAAGTACCAACCTTTTAAATTAAATGAGTATTATTAAGATTTTTTCTTAAGAGTATTTTAACATTCATCGAAATTGATGCATTGATTTGGCTGATCTATTAATGAAATTAATTTAATTGCCTTTAGACAATTTTCAATTAACTTCTTAAAATCTGGGCCACTTTATTACCAAAATCTTATTAATTTAATAAATTTGATTGTATTAAATATGTTCAGCAGATATCTTTTAAAACATGTGATACGAGAATGATAACTGAATTGTTCTTCCAGAGTAACATTATTGTTTAAATTGTTAGTGAACTTAAAAAATGCTAATAGTAAATATTGTATTTCATCAATTTTAAATTTATAAATGAAACTTCAGTGATTATCCTTTTTTAATAAGCAATTATCCATCGTAACAGTTAATTAAAACTAATATCTTCAACAACATAAGTATTTTTGAATTGATTTTGACTTTCCTAATGACCAATTTATTTCAAACCTTATTCATCCAGCCTGTTTCCACTCATCCACTGAAATGACTGATAGAATATATACTTCTTCACTGAATGGTTGCCAAGAAGATGAAAGCCAATGTATTTTTTTCCTGTCCTACGAAATCATTCTTTGAGTTAATGCATTAAAATCATTGTCAGAAAAGGCAAACTGTTTTATAGAATTAATTTGTCTGAAAGCATAATACATACAGAAAGCTTTTCCATTTTCTAACAACCAAATTAATTTTTTCCATATTTCAAAATACTAACAATAATTTAAGAATTCTATCATGCATTCAAGATCTTTATATTACAACAAAATTAACAATTACATTTTTTTAAAAATAACTCAACGAGAATACTTTCTTAACCATTCCTGTCATCAACTTATTATTCTTTGAAATGTTTATCATTAAATAAGAGTTTCATACTACTTGTTTTTCTTTATTTTACTA